CAGTAGAGATACAATATAAACTGTGAGAGGACGTAAATGTGACTACAGCCAGACGGAGACTAATCATACTGTCTATAACACGGTATCCCTTTTATGAGGCTAAATGACTATTTAATGTTTATATGATTTGTGAAGCAACGTAATAAAGTTATTTGATTTGTTTCATAATTAAATTGTTGCTCAATTTATGACAAAAACATCTTACCATTTTTTGGGTTGGGTGTGTCTGTGGATCAACAAGCTCGATATATAAAATCACATTACAACTGTGATTCTTTAATTCAGAGTTGCCAGATATGAATTACTTTCCTAACGAGAGCGAACCAGCGCAGACCAGCTGTGTGAGGTGTTAAAGTGCGTCTACGCTCATCTGCTCTTCACTGTGACTCATCTTTGACTGGGTTAAAAACTGCTCAACAGACAGGAACTCAGTCTGAGTGACTACAAACACAAAAGGAAAACAACGTCTGAGTAATATCACAGAAGATTAGATTAAAAGCAAATAAGCAGTAAGCTCCCTGGCTCCTCTGACAGGACGGGGTTCCCAGCATGCACTGCAGCCTGGAGAACAGAAAAACAGGACGGGTGGAGGAGGAAGTGACTCCAAAACTCCCCGACAGCTCAAGGACTCGACAACAAGAGGACAAGTGAACAGACAGGACTGACAGCAGGTCCTGAGTCGGTCTGAGAGGCTGTGAAAGTCACAAGACCGAAGTGAGGGAGGGTGATAGGGTGAGGGAGGGAGGGAGAGAGGGTGAGTCCCTCCACATAACTGACACTTAATCTGAGAAGAGAGAGATTGAGGGATTGAAACAGCCCCTTACTCTAGATCTTCATCTTCCTACAACTCTCTATATCTTCTGCTCCTGAATCTGAAAAGAAAAGACGGGGGAGTCTGAAAAAACGGCGATTTTTCTCAATGGACACATGACAAGAAAGAAAGTAAGAAAGAAAGAGAGAGACAAAGAGAAAGAGAGGGAAAGAATATTAAAAATGTATGACATGAGGACAGGCCAAAAAAAGAATAAGAATAAAAAAAACAAAACATGGAAGGATGATGAGAAGGAAGGAAGGAAGGAAGGAAGGACAGGCTGATAAGAGACTGGAGGGCAGAAGACTTACTAAGGGTCTTTCCTCCCTGGGTAGAAGGGATGGCAGGCCCTGTTTTGGCCGTCTGCCGTTTGGCCGGGTCAATAGTGACCCTAGGCAGAGAGGAAGAGCAGCAAGAGGTCAAGGTTAAAGGACACAGGAAGGTTAGGAAGACAAAAAACTAAACAAAAAACACACAAACTGTGGAGGAGAGGAGGAAGAGGGAGATGACTGAACCTAAAAACGTCCTGAAGGAGGAGGAGGGAAGAAATGACAAAAAACTCGTTGGTTAAGTCCGAAGATGTGATGAAATGTACGGAGGGTCGAAACTGACAAAAAAACGCAGTAAAAAAGGTCATCAGACGAGTCAAAGAAATACAACTGAATAAATACTGTTAATTAAAACGGAGAGTAAACGGAAATAATGAGGCTTTATACTGAAATCAACGCTAGCAGCTCCGTGAGGTTTAACATGCCAACATGAGCTCAGATAATCATTAATGCTGTAGGTATTGCTTTTGTTCTTCTAGCGCCATCATCAGGTCAAAACTTTAGTTGTTGCAGTTTAGTTAGACATGAATTTTTGCACCGAATATGATAATAATGGAGATATAAACACAAGAAGGATGAAAACTTTGACCTGCTGGTGGCGCTAAAGAAGGACGTCAACCAAAATGGTTAAACAGTTGTTAATTGTTGTTACAGTTTTGTAAATAGTAAATTGTGTCATAAAAATGTGTGTATAATGTGATTTTGTACACTTCTATCACATCTATTTGCGGTCTGTGTGTGCTGATAGAGGGATTCCTCCTCTGTGTCTCTTCCTGAGGGTTTCTAACTATTTCCCCATTAAAATGTTGTTGAGTTTTTTCTTACCTGAATCGAAGGTCTGGAGAGATTTTGGGGCTATTAAAATAAAATATAACTTGACTTTAGAGTATTAACTGATTAAAACAAGGTTAAATAAAAAGTATAAAGCCTTTAAAAATTCACTTTTACACTCCGTTTTAATTACTGAACCGACAATATATTACATTTCTGACTCTTCTGATAACATTTTACAACATTTTGTCTCCACAGAAATGAGGACAAACATGAAAAGAAAACAAAAAAAAGTGGGGTGATAAGAGTGAGATGATGACAGATGACACCAGAGTTCACCGACACGACTCTCTGGGTGATGAAGACGCTGCCAGAGGAAGAAGATTGTCCACCGATCGGCCACCAGAGAGCACTGCTGAGCCTTCAGACGGCACCCTGTCAGGGCCATAAAGCTACAGAGGGAGAGGCCCACAGCTGATACAGCGGCTGCTTCAGCTCCACCTCAGATATATAATCACTATTTTAAGGATATTTCGGATCGTCACGTTACATATTTTGGCGTCCTGGTTCCCTTTCGTAACCCCGACCTCTCCCTTAGCGGGAGAAATGAACTGGAACTGACCCCGACTCCTTCAAGCACCCGCCGGAAAAACCACCAAGTATTAATGAGATAAATGTTTGTAAAGGAGAGTTCTTAATTAAATAATAAAAAGAGTTAAAAGAGGAGTTCCCTGGATGTTAAAGGATATGTTCACATTTTTTTAAAGCCCAGTTTCATACACTGTAAAATGTTAATGCTGTATATTTGTACCCACAGAGATCGCTCCTTAAGGCAGCTTCAGTAAGTGACAGTTCGTGTAAAATTCCCTGTTTTGTTTCCTTGGTAGAGATTTTTTCTTTCCACCAGTAGAGACAGAAAGTGGAAACAAGAAGTCTGTAACACTAAAGCTCCAATCAATTGATAATTGTTAAATAATTTTAGTTATTTATTAAGCAAAATCTGCTGAATTTCTTCTGGTTTTGGAAAAACAAAAAACATTTATCCTGTTATATTTAACTGTTAGTTGGAGCCCTAAAAGATTTCCTCTCTGACTACTTAAAACTTTAGGGATCAATATTATTTATAATAATAAACTTATTTTAAATAGCACCTTTCAAACCAATGTTACAAAGTGATTTCCAAACAAAAAAAACAAAATTAAAACAAAGTAGAGTGAATAAAATAATAATAAAAATATAAATTAAAAAGATGATTTGAGTCCTGTGGAGTTTTTCCTCCATTAATAACACTGAGTTCGC